AGTCTTAAAGGAAAAGAAGGCTTTCAACACACAAAGGAATAATACATTGCAGAAATATAAAATAGCCCAAAGAAGGGAGAGTAAAACAGAAGGAAGCCCAGAGAGGGACTCAAACAAGCAGGGCAATTTTGTTGCTACTTTGTTAAACTTAACATATACACTTTTAAAGTTTCACATGCAGTCCTGGTTCCTGTTTCTATTTGTATGTTGAAACATTTATATTTGCTGATATTGAAGATCAAATTGAAAATAAAATAATAATTATAATAATCATAAATGCCAGGCACTGTGATAAGCATTTGACAAATATATCATTTGATTGTCACAACAACCTTGGGAGGTAGGTGCCCCAATTTACAGTTGAGGAAACTGAGGCAAACAGGTAAAGTGACTTGCTCAAGGTCAGACAGCTAGGGAGGACCTGAGGCCATATTTGAACTCAGGTATTTCTGATTCCAAGCCCAGAGCTCTAGAATTAAAATAAAGATGTGAGAGAGAGAGAGCTCAGAATAAAAATGGAGATGAAGAATAATTCACTTTAGTTAGAATGTAGAATACTGAAATATCTGATTTATGTAGCATGGAGTAACTCCTGGTATGGGAACTAACTGTATCCCATCTTAGTAGATAGGTCTTAAGAAGTTGTCTGAGTCACAAAGAGTTTAAGTGACTTACCCAGGGTCATATCATTGGCATTGAACTCAGGTCTTCTTACTCCAATCCAAGGACTCTGTTCACTATTTCATGCTGCCTGCACAGAAAGATAGGTTAGGGTGATATGGTTCAGTGATCCAGGAGAGATGAAATAAAGACTAGCTAAAGCCTGAGAAATGGTGGTTGTGTAATCATGTTCTTGAGCCACTCCTTATTTTACCCAAGATATTGCTATTCCTGCATTGGAGTCTCCAGATTATTTCTTGCTCCTAAGTAATGCTGCTTTCCTCCTCATGGGCAAGGGCAACCCCTCTCTCTTTCATGTGGTATAATCTAAGTTATTCTCACTCCCATAGTTCTCACTTTGGGCAAATAGGAAGGAGCTGAGAAGGAGATGAGGATGGAAGGAAATAAGCACTTATTAAACACTGGGCCCTGTGATAAGTGTTTTACAAATATTATTTCATTTGATCCTCACAACAGCCCTGTATCATGATCACCATTTTACAGTTAAGAAAACTAAATCAGACAGGGGTTAAGTGACTTTCCCAGCATCACAGAGCTTGTAAGTGTCTGAGGCCAGATTTGAGCTCAGGGCCTCCTGAGTCCAGACCCAAGGCTCTCTCCACCACACAATCTGTAAGTGATTTTCTCAACAATAAGGCAGGTACATGAGTAAAGTTATAGCTGGCAAAGGAAGAAATGAAATTCTTTCTAGTTTACTATTTTGGAGATTAACTATTCTCTGAAGAGTGTCAATAGGAGTAGAAGGAACCATTGTGGTGATATGATACTCCAACGTACACTTCACCAATTCCTACACTTGACTCATCTTCCAAACTTCCACTGAAATACAATCACCGTTCTTCCAATCAGTCAGACTCAAAATCTTGGAATTATCCTTGACTCTTCCCTTCCCTTTCCATATCCAATCAACTGTCAAGTCTCATCAATTCTACTTCCATACTATCTCTTGGGTCTGTTCCCTTCTCTCTACTCTCATGCCTACTGTCCTAATTCAGTCGCTTTGCCCTGGGATTGATACTATGAACTACACATTGATTCCTCCTGCTTTTAGGCTTTTCTCACTCTAATCCATCTACTGCACAGCTGCCAAATTAATATTCCTAAGGTACAGTTCAGACCATGCCATTCTCTTGCTCAAGAAGCTTCAATGGTTCTCTTTTGCCTCTAGGAGAAAATTAAATCTCCTCACCTTGACATTTAAAACTGCCCCTTTCCCCTTCAGGTTCCCATTTACTTTTCCAGACACATTTCATATTATTCCCTTTTCACATACTGTTTTCTGGAGTAGTCAATTGATCTGTTTGCTGAATTCAGTGTTCCTTCTCTGATTTCTGTACCTGAGCACAGACTAACCCTCATGCCCAGAACTCTTCTCTCACTATTACCTCTTAGAATTCTTAGCTCCTTTCATGGCTCATAAGATGATAAATTTAGAATTGGAAGCAAGTTTAGAGACTATCTTGTCCAACCCCCTTCATTTAACAGATGAGGAACTGAGGAAAGTAGAGATTGATTGACTTGCCTAGCATCCCATAGCTAGTAAGTATTTGAGGTAGAGTTTCAATCCTTGACTTCTGACTCCCAAATCCAGCACCTTGTCTGCCATAGCTTGGTGCAAGTGCCACCTGGTATACAAGGGCTTTCTTGAACGAGCAGGTTGTTTTAGTGCTCTAATGACTTCAAATTGTCTTATATTTATTGATATGCGTGCTGTCTCTTGCCTCCTTTTTGTCCCTTCCCAAGTAGAATGTAAGTTCATTGAGGACTAGAGACTTTTTATTTAAATCTAGTGACTACCACAGTGCCTTGCATATAGTAATAATAATTTGTTTAATAATAATAAATTATTTATTGAATTGAATGGTCCTGATGGAGCTTGATCCATATTTAGTTATTTCTACCTATTCAGCTGTTTTACTTATTTCCTTCTGGAAGATATAGTTGGATAGTGGGCAATTTCCCAGCAGATTCAAGATCTAAGGAAACCACTCAGTTGAAGAACGTTAAGCACCAAAGAAGACAAAGTGATCTCAAAAATCTCATGATTGTGGTTTGAGATTTTTGCGGTACAAATTCAGAAGATCATTTTTTTCCCCAGGGTCAGGGTTCTATAGGCAATTAATTCATCTTAAGATTGATGCTCAAAATTATTTATGTTTGCTTTAGTTACTTTCATAACTCAGGGAACATAACTTATTCTTAAGAAATCTTTTTATTGAGGAATTCTTCCTGAGTTTTATTGTTTTACATTAAATTTGTAATTTCATTGGTATAGGTAACTCCCTGTGGGGAAACTCCTCCATAGTAGTCTGAGAGCAGTTCAGAGTACTTTGAGTTATGTGATGACCTCAATATCCACTATATTAGAAGAAGAACTTGATTCTGGGTCCAGTTCTCTACCACTAGAGCATCCTCCTTTTTTAAAATACTGTTATCTGGCACCAGTTCTCTATTTTTTCTCTGTCTAGGGATTCAATCCCTATTGTACAGCCAGAAGACCTGTGGGGATAAATAACCACCTGTAGGAGATTGAATACAGCTCCAACTGCAGAACTTCAACCCCCCTTTCCATGAATATTGCTTCCTCCTCTATTTCCTGTTGCTACCAACCTAAACCTGACCCCTAAGGAAATCTGCCTTCTTTGGGACTGGGTGTTGGCCAATTTTCCTTTCCTTAATCCAACAAAGACAAAGTCAGGGTTAAAAGGTTTACTAAGGAATTAGGGAAACAAACTGAAGAAAAAGTAATGTGCAAAAGTATCAAACTATGGTATGTTTAAGGCATAATCTTTGATTTAATC